TTTTTTTTTTTTTTTTTGAGATGGAGTCTCGCTCTGTAGCCCATGCTGGAGTGTAGTGGTGCAGTCTTGGCTCACTGCACCCTCTGCTTCCCAGATCCTGGTTCAGGCAATTCTCCTGCCTCAGCCTCCTGAATAGCTGGGATTACAGGCACACACCACCATGCCCAACTAATTTTTGTATTTTTAGTAGGGATGGAGTTTCACCACGTTGGCCAAGCTGGTCTTGAACTCCTGACCTCATGATCCACCCATCTTGGCCTCTCAAAGTGCTGGAATTACAGGCGTGAGCCATCGTGCCTGGCCAGTTATGAAGTTTTTTAGAACAACTTTCAAACAGTACTTTCTTCAGTTGTCTTTGAGATTTTTATAAATTCAAGAAAAAGAAAAAAAAGTGATTTAGAAGCTTATTTAAAGTTACTGTGGCTGAAAAGGCAATTATGTGGCTCCTGGCAGTTGTAGGAGGGTGGCAGTCCCCAAATTGAGCTACCAAGGAGAGACTGTCGAAGCCCAGAGGAGAACCACTGTGTAAACATTAGAGCTCAGCAGGACCTTCAGAGGCCTAAGTGAGTTGTTTACCCTGTGGAAATCCCATGCAGTGTTACAGCTTCCTGGAAATCACTGGCATAGGAAGGTCTGGGTGTTGCTGCCAAGGTTTGATGTCTGCTGCTTAGAGCTCTAAGGAGCACAATTAGCATGCAGTTCCACCATGAGCAGAAATCACACGACCTGTGCACAGCTGAGCCACTCTGGCATTGTTTTAAAGAGCCCTTGGAGAAATACTGAAGGCAGAGCTTCAGGTGCTAGGTAATAGACAATTTGTGAAACATTTCATTTAACGTGTCTTAACTATGGTTAAGCATACTTGTCCCATTTGGCTAGCTCTAGTGTAGAGAAATGCAGACATGCTTCTTACACTATTTTCCCATTCCTTGGTATTTCTAACTGCATACCCATCGTCCCCAGTGTGGACTTGGCCTCCCAGGAGAGGGCAGCAAGGAGCAGCAACTATTAATAGAAGATGGCTCATGCCTGTAATCCCAGCACTTTGGGAGGCTGAGGTGGGTAGATCACCTGAGGTCGGGAGTTCAAGACCAGTCTGACCAATATGGTGAAACCTCATCTCTACTAAAAATACAAAAATTAGCCGGGCATGGTGGCTACTTAGGAGGTTGAGAGAGGACAGTTGCTTGAACCCAGGAGGCAGAGGTTGCAGTGAGCCGAGATTGCGCCACTGCACTCCAGCCTGGGTAACAAAGTGAGACTCTGTTTCAAAAAAGAAAGAAGATGTAGCAAGAGTGACTCAGTGTTACCCATTGTCCCTGGAGACCAGCAAGACGAAAACTAGAAATGTGAGGCAACTCAGAAGACTTGCTTAAACATCACTGACAGCGAGGGATGCAAAAATAGGGCAAAGGCTTCAAGGGCTGGAAATTGGCCTGGCCAGCAGTGCAGTGCATGCCTTGAGTTTCAAGACAACATGTTTCCCTGCCTCTTCCATAATGACAATGATAATGGAATAGCAGATTTTTCAGCTTTCCCAGGATTGGGCAGATGAAGCTGGGGTGAAGGACAGAACACAGTAGGCATCTCTGTCACAGGGCTACGAGATAACATAGGGAAGTGGTATCTGAAAGACCTTGAATCCATGCCTGCTTTGTCTTTCTCACTATGCAGCTAGGGGCAAATCTTCTTAACCTACTTGGGCTTTAGTTTCATTGTCTGTAAAATGAGGGATTTGCTTCCTCTTGGAGTTTTTTGCAAGGTTTAAGTGAGCTGACATTAGTAAATTGCCAGCCATTGTTAGTCACTTAATAATGGAAGCTACAATTATTTTTATCATAAGCTGAGGTAAAATATTCTTCCATTAGATTTGTAAGACAAGCATCAGAAATTAAAAAGACAGATTTTTACATGCCCTAAAACTTGTCCTGTGTTATAGTTCAGATGAATCTTTATGACTTCAGTTTGTCTTCTTAAAAGTCCATGAGCTGAAATGAAACGTCAGAACCTGTGGACCCTTTGAGAGAAATGAAACCTTGTTCAAAGAGACCCTCCTGCCCTGTGTTAGCCTGGCATAGGTGAGATTTTACAACTGACACTGAATAAGAAACAAGCTTCTGTTTTGTTTTTTTTTTTTAAGAGACAAAGTCTTGCTCTGTCATGTCACTCAGGCTGGAGTGCAATGGTACAGTCATAGCTCACTGCAGCCTCAAACTCCTGGGCTCAAGCGATCCTCCCACCTCAGCCTCCCAAGTAGCTAGGACTGCAGGTACACACCACCTGCAGTAGCTAATTAAAAAAAAAAAAAAATTTTGTAGAGATGGAATGTCACTATGTTGCCCAGGTTGGTCTTGAATTTCTGGCCTCAAGCAATTCTCCTGCCCTAGCCTCCCAAAGCACTGGGTTTACAGGTGTGAGGCACCATGCCCATCCAAGAAAGGAGCTTTAAACACATTCAGTTCTTCAGATGCCTCTCTTACCTGCATCCCCCAACTCCAACTTTCCTGCTTGTCCCTCTCCTTTTCAAAGTGCATACGTTGTTAAATTTCCCAAGTAGTGCTATTTTTCCCCCATTTTATGAGAACTCATTCTCATTTTCTCCTTCTTCCTTTGTTTTCCTTTTTGAGACAGAGTCTTACTCCATCACCCAGGCTGGAGTGCAGTGGTGTAATCTTGGCTCACGGCAATCTTTGCCTCTGGGGTTCAGTAATTCTTCTGCCTCAGCCTCCTGAGTAGCTGGGATGACAGATGCACGCCACCACACCCACTAATTTTTTTATTTTTAGTAGAGATGGGGTTTCGCCATGTTGGTCAGGCTGATCTCGAACTCCTGACCTCAAGCGATCTGCCCACCTCAGCCTCCCAAAGTGCTGGTGTTACAGGCATGCACCAACACGCTCAGCCAATATTTCTCATTTTCTTCTAATAAACCTTCTAGAGTTCCACATTAGAAAGCTCTAGAGAGAAACATTTTTTAAAGAGCTCAGGCTTTAAAAAACAAACAAAACTAAATATTTAAATGCCATCCCTTTCCACTCAATGAAAACTTTGCTTCTTACTTCATGAACCAGGTAATAGTTATAAATTTCATCATCTACTAATAAGCTGTAATTTCTCCATCATTCAGAGATGTACAGAGTTTTGAGCTAAAATGCTAGGCTACATTTTAAGCAGTGCATACATCAGTTTCCAACTAAGCTAACTTTTCATTTGGGGCAAGCAGCATTTTTTTTTACTTCTAATCAAGTCCCTGTAATCAAAGCTCATTTTTAGTTTTCTTTGACATCATGGCATTTTGTCAGTATAATCAGACGTTCTGTTTAAAAAAACAAAAAGCTGGCAACACACAATTTTTCAGAATAATCTTTCAGAAAATCTTTTTCTGGATCCTATTTTATCTCATTCCCTATTCTGTTTTCAGAAGATAACATAAATACGCTTACACACTCAGTTTAAAATAGTGAAAGCCTTGGCTGTATTGGTAGAAAAAAAAACCTTAAGCCCTGTTCAACCTTGATATTGATAAATTCTTAAAAGTGAGGGAAGCAAGTGGGGGAAACTGATACCTATCCCTGGTACCTGATGCCTGTCCTTTCTGTGGGCCAAGGGAGACCCAAGACAAATAAAAATGGGGGACAAGAAGGAGTGATTGTTAGGCTGTCTGAATAATACTTTACTCAAAATAATAGCAATGTTAGCTTACTTACATTTCATAAAATATTCTGGCCTTATCTCTTCTGAAACTTAAAATGATTTGCATAGAAACAAGGACTTGATTAACACGAAGCCACCGCCGTAGAGTGGATCCTTTGACTTGTCTTTGCAGGTTAGTTCATATGCTTTGCTCAAGTTGTCATGAACTTTGGTGAATGAATTGGGTCTTCATTCCACGTTTTTGAATTTTGAATCCAGATTAGCAAGCTGTTAGACAATGGGAAAAGCTAACTGTTTCAGAGTAACTCTTTTTGGAGTAGTGCTTTAGAGGGATCACCATGGTTGTAGTGACTACATAGAGTGCCTTTTTGGGACAGTCCCACTTTAAAAACCTGTTCCATCAGTGTGCCTGTGGTCTGACTTTTAGTTCAGAAGATACAGCCACATCTGCAAGGGGTTCAGATCTTGCATAGGTTCTGCAAGGTTTAGAGCCCAGTGTTGAGCTTACGTAGGGATGTGTATCATGCCTTTGGAGAATCAGTTCCACCATAAAGACGTGTGAGTTTGATTCGCTCCAGAGTTGCAGTTTAGATACTCAATAGTATTTTTGCAGAGGAGGCCATATGACCATGGGTTTGTTGTGTTCCAAGGAAGCAGATCTACTCAGGGAACCATGTTGAGGTGGAATCAAAACAAACTTTGATGAAGGTTTTCTCAAATTCTTCTCTTGGCTGCAGAACTTCTTTGTTAATGATGTTGTGTATGAAAGCTTACCATATAAAATAGGTCAAAGCTGAGGCAAGGAGCTGGAAAACCCCCCCTCTGGGCCTCTCCTTCCCATCGATTAGCAGCCCGAGGCCCTGCTAAGAGGCCTTTCAAGACTGTTAAACTTCATGGGCTTAACCATACACTGAGCTTGGGGGAGCTGCCAAGGATCCATCTCAGCCCCTGCTTCCCACTCAGCCAGACCCAGATCCTGCATTCCAGCTTTGGTTGTGGGGATTCTCTGGAAGAGGACCCTTGGCTGTTTGTCCCCATGCATTTCTGATATCAGGCAGCATCATCCGCCAGTTGTGACTGTCCTGCCTGGACTGCAGGTTTGGTTGGGTGTGCTCTACAAAGCTTGCTTCTCTCGAACGTGCTCTGCTGTGGTGTAGCTTCCGGCGCTTCACTCTTCTCTCCGCTGGGATCCCTAGTGGGGCTGGATGCTGGTACCAGACTGTGGAAATGGGGAACATACAGCTTGGTTCTCTTACCTTAGACAGACTTCTTCTGACTACCTTTTGTTTTGTTTTGTTTAATAGATGATGATTCAGATCTGTACTCTCCCAGATACTCGTTTTCTGAAGACAGTAAGTGACTTTGAATAACCTGGTTGTGGGGAAGGAAGGGAAAGTGGTGGATGAGTGAAGATATCACCGTGTTTTCAGTTTTCATGAGTTTTAAGTCTTTTGTCTGCACTGTCTTTCTTCAGCAAAATCTCCCCTTTCTGTGCCTCGCTCAAAAAGTGAGATGAGCTACATTGATGGTGAGAAGGTAGTCAAGAGGTCGGCCACACTACCCCTCCCAGCCCGCTCTTCCTCACTGAAGTTAAGCCCAGAAAGGTAAGTGCCACCTTGTCTCTCATTCATCCACCCTGGTCCTCATCAGTGTTCATTGAGACCTAGGAGCCTCCATTCTTAGGAATGTAGAATTTGAGTCTGTCCTCTGTCACCTATTAGCAGTGACTTATTCTTTCTTAGTCTCAACGTCCTCCTCTGTAAAATGGGGATAAAAGTAGCACAATTCCCATTAAGGATAGTGCAAGGATAAAATGAGATAATACATGTTAGTATTCCTGGTAGCACTTGGCTTAGAGTATGGACTTAATTAATGTTGATTATCATTATCACTTTTTACATTTTCGCAAGAGAAATCATAACTGCAAGGTTTGTCACATGTTGTCATATTCTTTTATGCATACTGTGCTCACATAGTCATAGCAATGACTGTAACTTTAAAATGAAGCCACACTTTTTAATGTCCATTTACTCATGCAACATGGATTGTTGAGACATACGCCTTGGACTTATTCTAATGACAGCATTAGTAAATCTCTTAATGCCTGCAACTGAACAACACAGCAACCTCCACCTCCCAGGTACAAGCAGTTCAGCCTCCTAAGTAGCAGGACTACAGGTGTGCACCACCACTCCCGGTTAATTTTTGTATTTTTTAGTAGAGACAGGGTTTCACCATGTTGGCGAGGCTGGTCTCAAACACCTGACTTGAATTCTTATCTCTAAAAATACTCCCTAAAGCAACCTTCTCATGCTGTTTGGACAGGTGTTCCATGCATCTTCCAACCCCAGCTTACACCACTTCTCAACACACAAAAGGCTCTGGCCAAACAAAATTATTTACTTCTTCCTTAAATACACATCGAGTTTCACATCTCTGTACCTTTTCCAACCTCACAGGCAAATTAATGGCTGTTTTACAAGCAGCACACAAACTTAAGTGGCATCTACCTGAGGAGTTTGATAATTAATTTGAAAAGCAAGCTGAGTATACCCACAAATCCCTTATAGGTGCCTTCATCAAGAACCCACTGGGTGTATTCTCTGCAGATTCAACCATATATTAAGGAAGGATCTAGCTATATATAAATCATTGTCTCTGCCTTCAAGAAGTTTACCGCCTTGCATGAAAAATTTAATACAATCACAGTGCAAAGTACAGTAATGTAAAAATAAAACAATTGCAAACTAGAGTTTATAGTAACCCAAACAGCTTGGTACTAGCATAAAAACAGACATATAGACCAATGGAACAAAATAGAGAGCCCAGAAGCAAATCCACACACCTATAGTGAACTCATTTTCCACAAATGTGCCAAGAACATACACTGGGGAAAAGACAGTCCCAATAAATGGTGCTGAGAAAACTGGTTAGGCAGAAGAATGAAGCTAGACCTCTATCTCTCACTATACACAAAAATCAAACCAAAATCATTTACTGACTTAAATCTACGTTTTCAAACTATGGAACTACTGCAAGAAAACATTGGGGAAAATCTTCAGGACATTGATCTGGGCAAAAGTCTCTTGAGTAATACTACACAAGCACAGACAACCAAAGCAAAAATGGACAGATGGGATCACATCCAGTTAAAAAGCTTTTGCACAGCCGGGAATACGGTCAACAACATGAAGAGGTAACCCACAGAATGGGAGAAAATATTTGCAAACTACTCATCTGATAAGGAATTGATATCTGGATTGTAATAAGGAGTTCAAACAACTCTATGGGAAAAAAATCTAATAATTTGATCCAAAAAATGGGCAAAATATTTGAATAGACATTTTTCAAAAGAAGATATACAGGTAGCAACCAGGCATATGAAAAGGTGCTCAATATCACTGATCATCAGAGAAATGGCAAATCAGAAGTACAATGAGACATCATCTCACCCCAGTTAAAATGGCTTATATCCAAAAGACAGGCAATGACAAATGCTGGGGAGGATGTGGAGAAAAGGGAACTCTTGTGCCCTGTTGGTGGGAGTGTAAATTAGTACAACCACTATGGAGAACAGTTTGAAGGCTCCTTAAAAAACTAAAAATAGAGCTGCCATTTGATCCAGCAATCCCACTGCTGGGTGTATATCCAAAAGAAAGGAAATCAGAATATCGAAGAGATTTCTGTACTCGCATGTCTGTTGTAGCACTGTTCATAATAGCTAAGATTTGGAAGCAACCTAAGTGTTCATCAATAGATGGATGAATTAAAAAAATGCAGTACGTATACACAATGGAGTACTATTCAGCCACAAGAAATAATAAGATCCTGTCATTTGCAAAACATGGGTGGACCTGGAGATCATTTTGTGAAGTGAAATTAGCCAGATACAGAGAGACAAACATGGCATGTTCTCACTTACTTGTGTGATCTAAAAATCAAAACAATTGAAATCATGGACTTAAAGAGTAGAAGGATAGTTAGCAGAGGCTGGGAAGGGTAGTGGGGGTTTGGGGGAGAGGTGGTGATGGTTACTGGGTAGAAAAATTAGTTAGAATTAGACCTGTTTGGTAGCATGACAGGGTGACTATAGTCAATAATAATTACACATTTTAAAATAACTTAAAGAGTATAACCTAACTGACTGTAACTCAAGGATAAATGCTTGAGGGGATGGATACCCATTCTCCGTGATGTGCTTATTTCACATTATATACCTATAGAAAAACATCTTACATACCCCATACATATATACACCTACTATATACCCACAAAAATAAATTTTTTTTTAAGTTTTAAGAAATTTGCAAACTATTTCCAAGGATTTTTGTGTCCTCTGAAATCCATCACTGGATGCCAGGTTAAGTATCTATGCCAAAGGCTTATGTTGGTGGGTAGCTTGGAGGGGTGTGGAATAGGGAAGAATCGAATTACGGTAGCAGCTAACATTTATTGTGTGGTTATTATGGGCCTGGCACTCTGCTCAGTGATTTACATGTGCTGTCTCATGTAAATTGTTTAGTCCTTACAACAACTCCATTTTTCAGATGAGGATACTGAGGTACCAAGAGGTAAAATACTTGTCTAAGATCACCTAGCTAGCAAGGGGTGTGGCAGGATTTGAACCACAGTCAACTGGCTCCAGGACCTGTGTTCTCTCTCACTGCACTAGTGTGAGCGGGAAGTACAGGCATGTCTGTGGAATGAAAAGCCCATGAGAGCGAAGCAAGGTGAAAGATTTTTCCAGAGCCAGCTTTGCTGCTGCTGCCTCCTTCCCTGCTGCTTTCCCCTCTCTCCTTCTCGCTGCCTGGTTTTGGGCACAGGACACCTCAAGCCTTTAGTGAAGCGAATACTGCAGTTTAACTGGCTATTTTGAGAAGCAAACCAGCACAACTAAATTGTTTGCCCTGACTCCGATTTTATGCTTTGGATATAAAAGTTCTCTGATTACACTACAGCCGTCCAAAGTCAGACTGTGTCGGAAGCTAATGCCAGTTGTCATGAAAATAGCTCTAATAGAATTTTCTTTCTGCAGAAATGACTGGGAACCCCCAGATAAGAAAGTAGATACAAGAAAATACCGTGCAGAGCCCAAAAGCATTTACGAATATCAGCCGGGCAAATCTTCTGTTCTGAGCAACGAAAAGATGGTAATGTGCATATTAAAGTTCTTTTGTCTCACCTTGCCCATGTTCTTTCATCAGAATGCATTGTGCAGTTGGATTACATTCTTTCCCCCTTGAGATAGACTTGCTTTGTTTTGAAGACAATGACAAAAATGAAGTACTTTTACCCTTTTCATTTTTCAGGTGTTCATAAAATAAGTCCCGCAAGTCTGCTTTTAAAAAATCCTCTTATTGTGACTTTGTTGCTCTTTTTGTGCATGGTTTTAACTAAGGTTTTAACTAATATTAATTTTTCTACTAACGTAAAGATTGATTTTGCTGCTGTCTTTTTTTAAATGTCTAACTGTTCGTTCATTTATCAGGTTTGTCCTTAAGTGGACTAAAGTCCAGTTTTTTTAAGTGACTCTCAATGGGCATAAATTTTGTACAAGTTACTAGAATGTCATTAAAAGCTACCTAATGAATAGGATGTTGTGACCTGGAAAAAAGGCCTCAGGCTGTTAGAATGTATCTTTTAGGTCTTCCTTTTTTGACAAGTGCCATATTGAGGACTAATTTCATATTCAACCTGGTTTATGATTCCCTACACAACAAGTTCACATCTCTAAGCAATTATGAGTGGGGAAAATGCTGTGTATGGGTATAGCAGACCATCCTGGTAAAGCAGCTTCTTCTGTGAAACAGGAAGAATTCTTACACACTGGTTGGTTTCATACCTGCCAATCATGCATCATTTTATTCACCCTTTATTAGGAAAAGCTGGTTCAGAATTGTGATCCTAGTTAAAGGCGTTCTCCAAAGCTCTATAAACACTACAATCCTCCAGCGTGACAGCAGAATGGAATTATTATGCTGGGGGTTGGTCTTTATTAAAATGAGATCACCGCAGTGTGTACAGAAGAAGCAGGCCTTTGAAATGCAGGCTCAAATTATGTTCCCTCCACCTCTTTGGCTCTACATGTTTTGAAGGAAGAATCAATTTGACTTCTGCTGAGATAAAAATGTGACATCTCTAAAAGCACAGAAGGATAAGTCATTTTAATTAGGAAAAAAGGTCAACAGGTTACAGAAATACTTAGAGGTGTCATTCTTCAGCGTTCACTGTGCACCACAGTTATTTCAAGCAGAAAGTTCAGAGTCGAGCACAGAATTTTGCCTTCTCCCCACCCCTGCCCTTCTTTGGAGGTTCTCTGCTGTTAGAAGATACCGTATGTAGAAATATGGAAGGTAACCTTGTGCCCAAATGTTCCTGCAAAGACAGTCATTATTCCTAACACTAATAATAAGTCTGGGACCCACCATTACCTATTAATACATTTAAATGATTTCAGGGACTCTGTAGACCTTTGGGTATTTTTGTTTTGGCAGCATTACCATTTATAGATTTTCATTGCACTTATTGAAGGCTTCCTTTTCTTAATTTCTCCTTTGTTTCTAGGTCCTTTCCCTGGTTCTTAGTCATTTAACCACTACTCAGATCTAGGAAAAACATAGTTTAGTTTTTCTGACTGATACCGCAATCATTTATGAGAATCTTTGATACCATAGTTCTTGGGATCACTTACGTTGTTTTTACAAACCCTGAAAAGTAACCCATAGTGCCTCACGGGACCCTCTTGGGGAGTGGTGGGGAGCATGTGCATGGATTGCAAAGCTCCCATGTGGTACCAAGCCCTAGGCCAAGCCACTAATGGCGCATGAACACCAAAGGCAGGCCAGGGAGGACGAGGAGGGGGAATGTCCAGTAGTTTTGTTCAGTACCTTTCACCCAATTTAGCTCTGTTTCTCCAAAGAGAAGTTTTTAATTTTAGAGAGAAACTTCAGTTGAATCTGAATCTTTTGACAGTCTGCCCTTCACAGTAGTTGAATTCATCCTTTATGTTTGATTTTGTTTCCTGCTGTTTTTATCACATGGACAGAAAAGGCAAAGTGCGAGTTTCAGCATGTGAGTCTTGGCTTTTGGTATCTATTATCTGGTTTGCCAGAATTTGAGCTTACACCCCCTCCGCCCAAATCCCCCAAAACACACACTTTCATTGTTAACTGTGGGTAAGTATACTAACTAGTCACAGATGTAGAATCTAAACCTGCTCTCAGATATGCACTACCTCATCTTGGGGGGGGGAATAAAAAGCTTTTTCCATTTGAGGCACTTATGTCTGCTTAACTCTGGCAATTTAAATCATGACTTCATAGGCACATACATGGTTAGTAGGAGAGATTGAATGGCAAATTGTAAAGCTTGCCCTAGAGCGCACCTTGCCCCTGGAGCATACCCAAATCATTCCAGACAGATGAAAGAAACAACTGTACTACCTTCAAAACCCCCTATAGAAGACTTACAGCTTGATGACCTAGCAATCTATTTGAAAGACTCATATGAAGGTCTCTCTTTTTTTTTTTTTGAGATAGGGTCTCACTCTGTCACCCAGGCTGGAGTACAGTGGTGAGATCATGGGTCACTGAAGCCTTGACCTCCCAGGCTCAGGCTATCCTCCCACGTAGCTGGGGCTACAGGCATGTGCCACCATGGCCAGATAATTTCTTTTCTTTTTTGAGACAGAGTCTCGCTCTGTTGCCCAGGATGGAGTGCAGTGGTGCAATCTCAGCTCATCGCAACCTCCGCTTCCTGAGTTCATGCAATTCTCCTGTCTCAGCCTCCAGAGTAGCTGGGATTACAGGCATGCACCACCATGCCCAGCTAATTTTTGTATTTTTGGTAGAGATGGGGTTTCACCATGTTGGCTAGGCTGGTCTTGCACTCCTGGCCTCAAATGATTCACCCGCCTTGGCCTTCCAAAGGGCTGGGATTACAGCTGTGAGCCACTGTGCCTGGCCCCAGCTAATTTTTCATTCTTTGTAGAGATGGGATTTTACTGTGTTGCCCAGGCTGGTCTCAAACTCCTGGGCTTAAACAATCTGCCTCCCTTGGCTTCTCAAAGTGCTGGGACTACAGGCTTGAGTCACCAAACCTGGCACATATGAGGGTCTTTATCTCTGCTTAGTCCCCTCTTATCATAGTAGGATAGTTTTTTCTCTTCTCACCTAAGAATTGGAGATCTGTTGGTCAGTCCTGGCTTTGTCAGAAATGGCCTTTTTCAGAACACATTCTTTTATACCTTCCTCTAAAGTCTCTTACAAAAGTTCAGTTCAGTTAAACAAATATATATACATGCGTGTAGAATAATTTTTATGCACCAAGCCCTGGGTTAGACATAATCCATTCCCATACGTGTATAATAGGAAGGACAGATATTAAGAGAGTGATTACAGACACAGTGTGTATTTGGAAGTGTAAAACAAGGGGATTTATCCAGCTTGGTTTCTTCCCAGTTCACCCTCACTTTGAGTTCCTTCCCTGGCTTTTTAGCATGGTCATTTAGCCCCTGCTTTAGCTTGTTGTCATCAAAACCTTAGTGGGTCTTCTGCCCGTCGTGTGGAATATGCAAAGGGAAGTATGGCATAGTGTAAAGAACATTGAGCTAGGAATTGGAAGATGGCGTGGGTCAAATGTGGTACTATGGGTACAAGAACTGTGAATATTATAAAGTGCTACACAAGCATACCACATTCAGGTTTGAAGTTAGTCTCTGGCTTCCATTCAAGAAGCAAAACTATCTTTGAGGAGAAGCTGGTATCTTTCTGGTGAGTTAACTGCCCTTTTCCGAAGATATTTTTTGAACTGGGAGAATAGCCTGTACTACAGAAGAACTTCACCAGACATTATGGAGTTTTCCCTGCCTGCTAGGTCAGAGTTCCTGCTCTGCATCCAGAAGGACGTTTTCTATTGGTCTGTTCCATAGTAGGATACATAGCTGAATTATACTTGGCAAAATCAAATGCAGACGTGAGGGCTGTGTGGTATCACCTTTTTAGCTTTATCTCTGGGCAGCTCAAAGGACTGAGGCCAGTTGCTCTTGCCTCACACTGTTTGACATAGCCTCCTGATTCTATTACTGGCTCAGCATTAACCTCCACAGTAAAACAATCTGCAGACAGCCTTTGGGAATAAAATGAGTTAATTACTTCAGGATCATGAGTACCAAAACTTTCAGGCAGTTTCCCGAAAGAGTTGGTACATTTTATTTAAGAAAAAAGAGGCTGGGCGTGGTGGCTCATGCCTGTAATCCCAGAACTTTGGGAGGCTCAGGCAGGTGGATCACAATGTCAAGAGATTGAGACTATCCTGGCCAACATGGTGAAACCCTGTCTCTACTAAAAATACCAAAATTACCTGGGTGTGGTGGTACATGCCTGTAGTCTCAGCTGCTCTGGAGGCTGAGGCAGGAGAATCACTTGAACCTGGGAGGCGGAGGTTGCAGTGAGCCAAGATCGTGCCACTGCAGTCCAGCCTGGCAACAAAGTAAGACTTCGTCTTAAAAAAAAAAAGTGGGGGTGGGGGGGAAAGCCTAACCTATTCCCAGAGGGCAGTTTATAAATAGTCTTTGTAAAAATAACAAACATGGAATAGATTTCATGAAATCTCATCATATTAGGATCTAGAAAGTCCCAATGTCTACCACTCCTGAATAGTTGTGTTCTTATAGGTATTATACCTCTTTTCACTCAATTGAATAAATATAGAATCCATTTACTATAGTGAGGGCAAGACTTCTCCTTCAGATTTAAACCCTAAGTCTCTAAAGGCAATTGGAGGAGGTTTTATCCGGATGTAGGAGGATAGACCTTGTCTTTCAGTATGTATTTCCCTCCGATTTCAACCCAGCTTGATTTCAGTTAAAAGGTTCCCTGCCATATTTCCATATCTTCCTCTGCCTGTAGCAAAAGTGAAAGTAATGCTAAAGATTCTTTTAAAGATCTTAGAAAAAGGGATTGGTAAAGGTCACTAAGAAAGTTAGCAGCCATTTCTACTAGCTGCAAAAGGGATGTTAACTAGGTTGTAAGAAAAGTACATTCAGGAAGAGCTGCTCTGTGAAGCACCAGCATTAAAGATCTGCACACCAGACATGGCAGCCCCCTCCTTCAGGTGTTATAGTCCCGAAGTAGTGAAGTTTGTTGTGCAGTATTTTCAATCGCAGTAGAACTTGTATGCATTTTATATTTCAGGTTATTGTAGAAAATCACCCCATCTCTCTTTTTGTGATTATCAAAGTTTTTGAAACATATATACATATTTAATTAGTCATGAACCTCAAACATTTTTGCCTGATATAAACATTTCTCCAATTTATTAAGGGGAAAACCTGATTAGCTTTGCATGCACGCATTCATTTTCCAACTAGTTATTTCCCAAAATGTGTTATTCCATGAAATAAGGTGCCAGAACTTTATCCTTATTTGGTTAAATATTATATTCCATAGAATCAAATGATCAGTCTATTGATACCTCATAGTGTTATATAAAGTGAGAAATCTAACTTATTTTTGTGACATAACCCAGAAGTTTTTTCCCCTTTGTTCTGTTATCTGTCTTGTCTAGCTTTTCTTTCATTTTATTTTTTCCCAGTTCTTTAACATTTATTTGTTAAAACATGAAGTTTATTCTGTCTATATTCATCCGCCATGGATGCTTGTTTAAAATGTTTTTTTTCACTGTGTCCTCTGTCTTATATCACATTTCACTTTCACTTTACTGTGTACAGGACATGGTTTCCTACCTACTCATGTGCCATTAAAGATGCAGTATTAACCAATTGGCTTTTTATAAAGTGTCAATATTTGCGTTTATTTTGAAAACCTTAAGGCAGCTTTGCAAACAAGTACTAAAATTGTACTAGCCCATAAAAATCGTTTGCTCTACTCAGCTGGCATAGATGGCTTAAATGTTTGGTGTGCTCACCAGGTAATTTGCTCATAACTAATAGTTCTTTGTAAAGGGCTTTCTTTTCTTCCACATTATTGAAAATTATTGCAGAATGCTGTTATGCCCAGATTCAGACTTGTTGTGTATGCAGCAGTGTGGTGCAAAGTTCTCCATCTGTAGTCCATTTTCCTCTGCCTTAGGGCTGAGAATGATTCATTCACTGTTCCCTGCCTCACTTTCCCTGTTTTTATAAACCCACCCTCTCCCTCCTGTTTTTGCTGATGTCAGTAAAAACAGATGATTGCTGCTGTTAAATGCAGTTGCTGTATATACCTGGAAACCACTGCATCTCTACTGGCCTGTTCCTATGTAACCTTTGCATAATGTTATCCTTCTCTTTCTTCCATTTCCCTATCACCAACCCCTATAGAGTCGGGATATAAGCCCAGAAGAGATAGATTTAAAGAATGAACCTTGGTATAAATTCTTTTCGGAATTGGAGTTTGGGAAACCGGTAAGTTTAATAGCTTCAGTGGTTATACACCTTTTAAACTAATGCTGTGGACGCATTGTTGCTGCTAAAGAATCAGATATTTGTAAGGAATTCAGAAAGTGGGGCCAGTCACGTTGGTTGTCTGTAGTGGGATTGTCTCTTCTCGCTACAACTTCTAAGCTTTCTTTTGCATTGCTTCACTGAGAAAGGACAGTGAGCTCTGGAAGTATATCTTGCTGGAATATCCCAGAGAAACACAAATAATCATTGCTTGTCTTAGACCTCCCCCAGTAACAACAAATATCACATTCCTTGTGGATGGCTAAAGACAAGCTGAAAATGCTTATATACTGAGAAGACCAGCATTGTCTCTGCTTTAAATCGTATTTTTAAAAGCACAAATGTAAATGAAGTCCCAGAGCAGGCCAACAAGGACCTCTTTATGCAGATGTGACCCACAAACGCAACCCCATTATGGGTGACTTTTAGGGAATGATTTCTGTGATGTAGGGTATTTCCCAAAGTTTGAAATGGGACTAAGGAATTCTAACATATTTAGTATTCAACCTATACTTCCCCTATGATATCTCTGAGTTGGCTTTGGTACAAATTGACTTTTGGCACTTAAAGGAGGATTTTCTTAGCCTTGCACCCAAAGGAATATAAAATAGAAGGGAGAATTGAGCTCATCCTTCCTCTAGAGATGACTGAAACTGACTTTAAAACTCTAGTTACTTCAAAATCTTAATTATTACAGCTGCAAAAAGAATTTACAGGTGGAGGAGTTAAGCATATAAACATTTTATTAGGTGATTGTATGAGACTTTAAGCATTGGATCCAGCTTTTGAGTTTCTATGTTCTGGGATGATAGTTTTATTTGCAGACAAGAATGAACTTTATAGTTCAGTAAAATGTTTAAAATTTTTCTTATTAAAACAAAGAGAAATTAAGCTGGTGCTTAGAAATTGCTCTTTAATTTGGCAATGCTGAGCTTTGAAAGTTCAGGCATCTTCTGAGTTAAGAGCACCAGACTTGCAAACAGCCTGCTTGTTCCTCTCTTCTGGTCCCTCCTAGACACTGTCTCCCGATAGCAGCTGAGCTGTCCTGGATGAACAGCGCCACCTAGTGACCAGTGGAGAGGGACGCATCTGACCCAAAGTCTGCACCCTCCTCCCCTCCCCAAAGCATTGGTGCACACCTCATTTCTTCTCCTTTCTCTCTCTCTCTCTTTTTTTTCCCCCTCTGCTGTTCACCATTCAGATATCAGTTAAGTCTGCCTCAGGCAGTCTTTTCCACATGCAGTATTTAACAGTATCTTAACCCTTTCTCTTTTCTTCTTTTTCTTAAAACCAATTACATCACCAAAAAAAAGCTTTTGCTGTATGTCATTGTTTCCTACCCCCCAGACAGACCATGATTGGTGGATAAAGCAATAATGCCATACTTTAATCATGGAAAGCAAAAGCTATTAAATTATGTTTAGTAGAGTCCCTGCCATTGATTTTTGATGTCTGTTTCAGAATCCACAAATTTCTGGCCATCTCATCTGCTAAATAACTAAATTAGTTTTACCTGAAATATTAGCTTTCAGGAAAAGTGGTGGAATTTTTCTTTCTAGTTAGTTGTTATTGTTTTGCTAAATCTATCATTACAAATAATTTTTCAGGATAATGTACAGTATTTCAATACCAGCATACATTAAATAGCCTCCATGCATAGCTTAATAAATTAATGCTATTGCTGCCAAAAACTTCAGTCCAGGTACCACACAGATAACTTCAAACAAATGTTGAGGACACAGTCCAATTGTATATTGGGGCCTTCTTGTAGCTTGTATCCCTACCCCAGTGCTCTAGTTGCCTTTTAATTATTTAAAGACTTAGAGATGCTTTTTCAAAATAGCATTTTCTCTGAAGCCACATGCATTCTTTGCACAGGCCTCAGAGTTCTTCTAATGAGATGGCTCCCTCTTGTGTAGGTCTTACTTTAAAAAATAGTACTGTGAGGACTTGTCAAACTAACTAACCTTATGCCCATATCCTGAGGGACAGCCCTGAAATGAACAGCTCCTTATGGTTGGAGGCATCCTAAAGGTGGGCTTATTATCTAGTTGAACCAACAGGGTTTGGGAGGAAGGTGTGGTGAGGAGAAATTTTTTCTTCACTTCCTTCCCCAACTACTCTGCCACAAAAGAATAAGAAACATAAATAAAAGTGGTGAAAACCATGGAAGTTCTTTTGGAAAGTTTTTCAGCCATTCAGAAGCAGAGTCAAATTAAAACTCCTACCAGATCATGGGAATCAGCATTTCTACTTTTGTTTTTTCCTCACGCCAACTGGGGACCACTTTCCCTGAGTAAGACCTGCTGGAACTTTGACACTAGACATTTACCCTGAACTCCTTGCTTCCTCCACCTCTTTGCTTAAGTCATCCGAAGTGAACTAAAATTTCAGCAAGATGTTGACTAAAACTTATAGCTATTTAGCTCTAATAAGTTGTTAGAATAGCAAATAGTTCAAGATTCCAGGGACCATTTTTAGAAGGATTATTTAAAACCAGTTTAATTTGTAAACACTGTTCTGTTTATTGCAGTAAAGAAATGACCATAAGCCATTAGACTTCAAAAAGTCTACTTCTGCAGGTGAACATTCCAAGTGTATTAAGTGCTTAGAGATGAATGGTAATTGCTAGTATCACTTACTTTGCGAAATGCAGAATATAAGTGTATGGAGATGACATTACTGACCTGTGAGTGTCAGTGGTGAACACATCTTGGAATCAGATTACTTCTCATTTGCAGATTTATTACAAGGAGACTGAGAATCTACTTTTTCTTCTGAATTGTTTTGCTCTAATTTCTATAGAAATCGACATGATTTCTATATGTAAGAGCAAGTCAGAATTTCACAATGTAACCTGATTTGAATGCTTCCATAGAGTTGGCTATAATGAAATTTGCACAAAATTTTAGGAGCTGTTAATGGTTTATTTCTTACCACCCTAGAGGTCATTATGTAAGAAAATACAAGTCTAAATAGGCAGAACAAGTAGAAGAGGGGATCCAGGGTTAGAAGTCGCCTGTAACCTCTGACTGTCCCACCCTCGGGACTCCTTCCTCATTAAGCTTACAATCATCTTTTGGCAAATTTCCGTCTTAGGAATACAGCTTTAAATCTGACTTAAAGGGTTAAAAGACAAAACAAAAATAACCTTACAGTCCCCTCTTTAAATTTTAAACTCTGTTCTCTAAGGAGGATGAAAAGTATGTCTCTACCACTAATAGTATTATCAAGGTCTAGTTAAACTATAAAAGGAGATTTTTAAACTACTGGTATGAAATTGTCTAGTGCACTATTTAACAACCATTTTGTACATGGATTTCATTGTTACAAACCATAGAAAGTACATTTGGTTCAGTCCATTGACCACACCTCTAAATTCATACATGTGTTAAAACACAATGAATTTTACAGCAGAGGACTGCCTCAAAAGTGTAGAATCTTCAGTGTCAATCTTAGTTTGAAAAGAACAATGAGGAATTTAAAAGTTTCTAGTTTTGTTTACATTTGTGTTAATGCTTCCCCTCCCCTGCCTTGTTTTGTTAAGCTTTCAATATTAAGAATCCAAGGATGAGTTGCTTTTGAAACAGAGACATAGAAACAAACTTCCTAGGTAATGGTCCCAGCTCCTAAATCCTCAGGCTTCCCCACCAGCAGGCAGCCTGTGTCCGTAGGCAGCACCCACTCCCCTGCTTTTGAGTTCACCTTTCTGTGTTGATACAGTTCTCCTAGTGTGCCCCTCCTTGTTTTTGCCAGTCTCCATGTTTGTCTTTATGTCTTTATGCTCATTTCTTCATTTCCTCCTCTGCTTCCCGTCAGCCTCCCAAAAAGATATGGGATTATACTCCTGGAGACTGCTCTATCCTTCCTAGAGAGGATAGAAAGGTAATTCCGCTGTGCCTCCTCTGTTGGACTGTGTGTGCTCTCTAGCTTTGGTTAGTGTGAGTGTGTTGTGGGTTTGTTTTTTTCTTAAATCACTTTTTTTAAAACTTGATGCTTTTTTTTTTTTTTTTTTT